TATTCTCGTTTGATTTGTTTTACATTGTCATTTCTGGGCCTTTTATAGCTGACTGTGCAGTATGGGCTCTGCTCATTGTTGAAGGCCGTACGGTGACCTATAGTTGTTAATTTCTGTGTCATTTGGTCTCTTGTGGAGAGTTGTCTCATTGGCAATCATACCACATCTTCTTTTTTATTTGTACTCCAATTTAGGATTTGAATTAAAACATGCATCACATTAATTTCTGAATTAATTATAACATCAAATATTCTCTTAACATTGACAATTTGGAAACCCTTTCTCTAATAGTCTCACCTGAACGAAAGTAAAGTTTCCGATTGTCAATTTGGATATCTACATATTTAGTCGATTTTTTTAAAGTAATTTGGAAAATATGACTTGATTTAGGTTGTTTGAAATTCAGTTGAATTTGAATCATTTCTATTCAAAATGTATACATCAGATTGTTTTGGTTAGCCACCAACTTCTGATAATTTGACACGCACATTAATTTCGCAAATAATGATTACATCATTAAACCGTCCTCATTACTGATTGAAATATAGATTTAAAATGAAAATAAGTTAATGATATAGTCAAAAAGAGCAATTGAGCAATGATGATGGCTGCCATTAATGCCAGTTTTTCTTTATAGATATTTTGAAAGAAAAGAAAAATTAAAGTAGCCAATTTTTTAAGTTTTATATTTGGTTCAATATTTTTGAACTTATTTTGTTTTTGTTTCAGATACCAGCCCCAGGATATTTACGTCAGGAAAGGTAACATATGCATCGGAAAGTAAGCATATTTTTTTTTATTTATTAATAGTTGTCTGATAGATATTAAAATAATTTGAATATGTATTACAGATAGACGGGAGCCAAGAGAGAAGACGACGAAAAGTACAGTCCTAGACATGGAGATTATTTGATTATAGATGCCTAGATGATGATGTAGGTATTTTGTCATTACAATTGTACTTAAACTGTTAATAGTTGAAAGGTAATAAAATCAGTTTTCCCTAGAGAAACAGCTTGAAAATGTATTACAAATTAGTCCAAAATTTCTTTTTCAAATTTATACTCGAATGAAATATATTTTAATAAGAAAGTATACTTAGTATTCTCGTTTGAATTGTTTTACATTGTCATTTCTGGGCCTTTTATAGCTGACTGTGCAGTATGGGCTTTGCTCATTGTTGAAGGCCGTACAGTGACCTATAGTTGTTAATTTCTGTGTCATTTGGTCTCTTGTGGAGAGTTGTCTCATTGGCAATCATACCACATCTTCTTTTTTATTTGTACTCCAATTTAGGATTTGAATTAAAACATGCATCACATTAATTTCTGAATTAATTATAACAGCAAATATTCTCTTAGCATTGACAATTTGGAAACCCTTTCTCTAATAGTCTCACCTGAACGAAAGTAAAGCTTCCGATTGTCAATTTGGATATCTACATATTTAGTCGATTTTTTTAAAGTAATTTGGAAAATATGACTTGATTTAGGTTGTTTGAAATTCAGTTGAATTTGAATCATTTCTGTTCAAAATGTATACATCAGATTGTTTTGGTTAGCCACCAACTTCTGATAATTTGACACGCACATTAATTTCGGAAATAATGATTATATCATTAAACCGTCCTCATTATTGATTGAAATATAGATTTAAAATGAAAATAAGTTAATGATATATAGTCAAAAAGAGCAATTGAGCAATGATGATGGCTGCCATTAATGCCAGTTTTTCTTTATAGATATTTTGAAAGAAAAGAAAAATTAAAGTAGCCAATTTTTTAAGTTTTATATTTGGTTCAATATTTTTGAACTTATTTTGTTTTTGTTTCAGATACCAGCCCCAGGACATTTACGTCAGGACAGGTAACATATGCATCGGAAAGTAAGTATATTTTTTTTTTATTTATTAATAGTTGTCTGATAGATATTAAAATAATTTGAATATGTATTACAGATAGACGGGAGCCAAGAGAGAAGAAGACGAAAAGTACAGTCCTAGACATGGAGATGATTTGATTATAGATGCCTAGATGATGATGTAGGTATTTTGTCATTACAATTGTACTTAAACTGTTAATAGTTGAAAGGTAATAAAATCAGTTTTCCCTAGAGAAACAGCTTGAAAATGTATTACAAATTAGTCCAAAATTTCTTTTTCAAATTTATACTCGAATGAAATATATTTTAATAAGAAAGTATACTTAGTATTCTCGTTTGAATTGTTTTACATTGTCATTTCTGGGCCTTTTATAGCTGACTGTGCAGTATGGGCTCTGCTCATTGTTGAAGGCCGTACGGTGACCTATAGTTGTTAATTTCTGTGTCATTTGGTCTCTTGTGGAGAGTTGTCTCATTGGCAATCATACCACATCTTCTTTTTTATTTGTACTCCAATTTAGGATTTGAATTAAAACATGCATCACATTAATTTCTGAATTAATTATAACATCAAATATTCTCTTAACATTGACAATTTGGAAACCCTTTCTCTAATAGTCTCACCTGAACGAAAGTAAAGTTTCCGATTGTCAATTTGGATATCTACATATTTAGTCGATTTTTTTAAAGTAATTTGGAAAATATGACTTGATTTAGGTTGTTTGAAATTCAGTTGAATTTGAATCATTTCTATTCAAAATGTATACATCAGATTGTTTTGGTTAGCCACCAACTTCTGATAATTTGACACGCACATTAATTTCGCAAATAATGATTATATCATTAAACCGTCCTCATTACTGATTGAAATATAGATTTAAAATGAAAATAAGTTAATGATATAGTCAAAAAGAGCAATTGAGCAATGATGATGGCTGCCATTAATGCCAGTTTTTCTTTATAGATATTTTGAAAGAAAAGAAAAATTAAAGTAGCCAATTTTTTAAGTTTTATATTTGGTTCAATATTTTTGAACTTATTTTGTTTTTGTTTCAGATACCAGCCCCAGGATATTTACGTCAGGACAGGTAACATATGCATCGGAAAGTAAGGATATCTTTTTTTTATTTATTAATAGTATAGTTGTCTGATAGATATTAAAATAATTTGAATATGTATTACAGATAGACGGGAGCCAAGAGAGAAGAAGACGAAAAGTACAGTCCTAGACATGGAGATGATTTGATTATAGATGCCTAGATGATGATGTAGGTATTTTGTCATTACAATTGTACTTAAACTGTTAATAGTTGAAAGGTAATAAAATCAGTTTTCCCTAGAGAAACAGCTTGAAAATGTATTACAAATTAGTCCAAAATTTCTTTTTCAAATTTATACTCGAATGAAATATATTTTAATAAGAAAGTATACTTAGTATTCTCGTTTGAATTGTTTTACATAGTCATTTCTGGGCCTTTTATAGCCGACTGTGCAGTATGGGCTTTGCTCATTGTTGAAGGCTGTACGGTGACCTATAGTTGTTAATTTCTGTGTCATTTGGTCTCTTGTGGAGAGTTGTCTCATTGGCAATCATACCACATCTTCTTTTTTATTTGTACTCCAATTTAGGATTTGAATTAAAACATGCATCACATTAATTTCTGAATTAATTACAACAGCAAATATTCTCTTAGCATTGACAATTTGGAAACCCTTTCTCTAATAGTCTCACCTGAACGAAAGTAAAGTTTCCGATTGTCAATTTCGATATCTACATATTTAGTCGATTTTTTTAAAGTAATTTGGAAAATATGACTTGATTTAGGTTGTTTGAAATTCAGTTGAATTTGGATCATTTCTGTTCAAAATGTAAACATCAGATTGTTTTGGTTAGCCACCAACTTCTGATAATTTGACACGCACATTAATTTCGCAAATAATGATTATATCATTAAACCGTCCTCATTACTGATTGAAATATAGATTTAAAATGAAAATAAGTTAATGATATAGTCAAAAAGAGCAATTGAGCAATGATGATGGCTGCCATTAATGCCAGTTTTTCTTTATAGATATTTTGAAAGAAAAGAAAAATTAAAGTAGCCAATTTTTTAAGTTTTATATTTGGTTCAATATTTTTGAACTTATTTTGTTTTTGTTTCAGATACCAGCCCCAGGATATTTACGTCAGGACAGGTAACATATGCATCGGAAAGTAAGTATATTTTTTTTTTATTTATTAATAGTTGTCTGATAGATATTAAAATAATTTGAATATGTATTACAGATAGACGGGAGCCAAGAGAGAAGAAGACGAAAAGTACAGTCCTAGACATGGAGATGATTTGATTATAGATGCCTAGATGATGATGTAGGTATTTTGTCATTACAATTGTACTTAAACTGTTAATAGTTGAAAGGTAATAAAATCAGTTTTCCCTAGAGAAACAGCTTGAAAATGTATTACAAATTAGTCCAAAATTTCATTTTCAAATTTATACTCGAATGAAATATATTTTAATAAGAAAGTATACTTAGTATTCTCGTTTGAATTGTTTTACATTGTCATTTCGGGGCCTTTTATAGCTGACTGTGCAGTATGGGCTTTGCTTATTGTTGAAGGCCGTACAGTGACCTATAGTTGTTAATTTCTGTGTCATTTGGTCTCTTGTGGAGAGTTGTCTCATTGGCAATCATACCACATCTTCTTTTTTATTTGTACTCCAATTTAGGATTTGAATTAAAACATGCATCACATTAATTTCTGAATTAATTATAACAGCAAATATTCTCTTAACATTGACAATTTGGAAACCCTTTCTCTAATAGTCTCACCTGAACGAAAGTAAAGTTTTCGATTGTCAATTTGGATATCTACATATTTAGTCGATTTTTCAGCTTGAAAATGTATTACAAATTAGTCCAAAATTTCTTTTTCAAATTTATACTCGAATGAAATATATTTTAATAAGAAAGTATACTTAGTATTCTCGTTTGAATTGTTTTACATTGTCATTTCGGGGCCTTTTATAGCTGACTGTGCATATAAGTAAGTATATTTTTTTTTCATTGATGAATAGTTGTCTGATAGATATTAAAATAATTTGAATATGTATTACAGATAGACGGGAACCGTGAGAGAAGAAGACGAAAGTACAGTCTTAGACATGGAGATGATTTAATTGTAGATGCCTAGATGATGATGTAGGTATTTGGTCATTACAATTGTACTTAAACTGTTAATATTTTTAAGGTAATAAAATCAGTTTTCCCTAGAGAAACAGCTTGAAAATTTATTACAAATTAGTCCAAAGTTTCTTTTTCAATTGTATCAAATTCATACTCTAATGAAATATATTTTAATAAGAAAGTATACTTGTACTGCAATTTAGGATTTGAATTAAAACATCACATTAATTTTTGAATTAATAATAACAGCAAATAGTCTCTTAACATTTGGAAATAATGATTATATAAAAAAAACGTCTTCATTACTGATTGAAATATAGGTATAAAATGAAAAAAAGTTAATGATATATAGTCAAAAAGAGCAATTGACCAATGATGATGGCTACCAGAGTATAGAACTTTTTGATAGGTTACCTACTCTGTGTTAAGACATTCTTGTACTCTGTGATGTAAGAAAAACTGAAAGAAGTAAAATCATGTAAGCTTACAATCGGTGCAATTTGTAGATTAATTGTTTTATTGGTTTTTTTTTGAGAGTCATCTCATCTGTTAAAATTTTGCCTGTTTGTTGCCTAAAAAGTTTATTAGCCATTCATGAGAAGCAAACTTCAAAGGCAGTGACACACCTGTCAATTCAAAGGAACACAGCATGACTCCCTATAACTTCAGATAGGGCAGCATGGCAGCAAAACAAGTTGGAACTGACAGTAGTGACCAGACAACATAATACTTGAGGGAATAAAAATAATTTAATTTATAAATCCAGACAATAAAATTTCAAGATTAAATCTTCAGTCGACCTGTTCATGGAGTTATTGATGTTTAAAGATGATTTTTACCATGTTTTTTCAGTTTTTGCCTATTATCTAGAAAAAATGACCAGCAGGACAAGATCTAAAATATGTCAACGTGACTGAATGTGTCAAGTAACACTTTATAGAGTTATTTCCCTTTCGTGATGATTTTAATCAAGAAGTGGTTATTGTTGAAGATGATGTTGAGCAACACGGGCTCTAAAGAGCCTCTGTTTGAACAATTTTGATTGACCTAAGCATTTTACTTTCAGGTTAGCATTAATTACTGCTTGTCATTATGGATTGAAGTTTAGAATGATCATTGAATCCGACTTTTAAGGTAAGAACCATTGCATAGATTTATAAACTTGTTGATTAAAGATTATGTAAACGCCTTTGAATTTTGTTATTTTACATGTGACATTTTGTTGCAGAAGCCAGGCATAGCAATTCACATTACTTTGCTATAGGCGTCAAAATTTAGGGTTCAGTATTATGGTTAAAAAGTTTTCAAACATCAATAACTTTGTCAAACTTTGAAGTAATTGTACATAAGAAGAACCAACCGCAAAATTTTGAAATTCAAATATAAAAAAAAATATTCGTCAATTGAAGGAACAATACACTAATTCACAAATGTATGTAGGTATGAGTAAATTATTATTGTTTGGTCATAAGTTGAATATTTTTCTATATTTTAATTCTTTGATTAGTTGTGTTACATTGACCAAAAATACAAGAAATAACTTTCTACACATTTCAATTTTGTTTTGATGCAACATCATCCACAATATCTTATTTGACAACACTCATTGTTGCATATAAAATCAGAGAAATGAAATTATCATCAATTTTTATTTAACTTGGAAATCACAGTACTTTGTTGCAACCGATGTAATAAATATACTTTTTTTCACAGTTTTCACTAAGATAATTTTAAGGTTAAAGTTTTACAGATCAAACATTTATTTTTTATTTTCCACATTCAAAGTACCAACAAAGAGTTATTTCATTAGTTTGATATATGGTTTCTAGTAACATGAATAAAATGTTATAACATTTGAAAAGTAAATTCTGAGATAGATTTCATCTTCAGGGGGAGACTAGTACAACAAACTGAAAGAATGTGTCATTCAATGGGAGATAACTCATAAATTATTGAAAAAAAATAATGTTGAAACAAAATCAAAACATGTTTTGTATTTCCGGCTTTTATAGATATTAAACTGGTTTTAATGCTATGCTTAATCTTAAGTCGGAAAACTAATTTTTGGCGAACAATTTAACACTTTTGTAAAATATATAATTTGTTAATTTTAATTCCTTTTTTAGGTTATTGCAGTGACTGTTTTCATGGATGGAGAGTAAAACTTGGTGGTCTGATACTGCTATATATTAGTAAGTATATAATTCCTCTGTCAAAAACAAATTTATTTTCATCTTAAAATAAAAATTGATAGGAATGTAATGTGCATTAGGCTTGAAAGTTTTAAAGAGTTTAGTCAGTTCTTTTTGTCTACCTTGCACCACAGGGGATATATGGTTATGGTCTTTGTCCAAGTGTCGTAAACACATCAATACTTAAGGATGTTTGCTCTTTTTTTTTTTTTTTTTTAACTTTTTGTCAGATAATCGGAATCATCTCGTTTTATCCATGAAGTGCCATTACAATTTTGCCTGCTTACACCCCTACTTATCTTTTCATAATTTTATTACATATTGTTTGAAAAGCCATGTTTGAAAATCTTAAAATCCTTGTTATTTTTTCATAGTTCTAATTTGCAATAAAATAAATAAATGGAGAAGATGATGCCCCTTGTTGCATAAAACATTATAAAGGGACAGTAAAAGTGATGTCACCCTAATTAGAAATTGATCTGAGTTTTGCGGTAATAAGCATTGGGATAAGTCTACTAACATTTGGTTGAGGCACACTTAATTTCGAGGACGGAAATGAAAAATTCAGCAATTTTTCCATTTGTAAAGGGGCATAACTTTAGAACAGTAAAAGTGATGCCACTTAAATTCAAAGCTGATCAGAGTTTTGTGGTAATTGTGTATAAGTTTCAAAATATTTGGTTGAGGCAAACTAAAGTGAAGAACGATACCCACTTTTGGGACGTACATACAGACGTACAAGGGTAACACTTAATGCCCCTTCCACTTTGGTGCTGGCATAAAAAATGACCTATATGTTAACAACAAACAGAAACAAAAATTCTTTTTAAATCACATACTATTGCCTTCATTTTGATACTAATTTTCAAAACCTACCTGAATTAAGATATGATCAATTGCCATGATTGCCGTTAGAATTAAGGCAAAATAAAAATATATATGTGGTTCTGGTTACCAGACCGACCCTAGTACTTTTTTTTAATTCTGTTAAATAAATTTTGAACGATCCCATTTTATGGAATGTGAATTTCTAAAATTAAATTCACAGACTTCAGTCATATCAATTTCCAATAAAAGTATCCACTACGGCTAAAAATGCAACAATTTCTTAACAGAATGCAACAAAAATTAACTAAATACATAATATGTCTTTTTATTTTACAACCAAACATATAGAAAATGGCAAACTTCCAGAAGGAGCGTGTATATTACCAGAATCAGACTCAGTGAACAAGATTTTTTTCCAGATTTTGACATTCCAAAAAAAAAAAAAAACAAAGTTGACCTACAGACCCAATTTTTTTGGAGGATGTAACTGGAACTACACATATATTTTTATTTGGCCTAAGTTTTTTTTTTTATTATGCAGATGAAAATTTGGATCCTTTTGGTTGGAAAGATTGTCAGGAACCTGAAGAAACTGAATTCACAATAAACATATGTACACAAACAGGTAAATATATATCTGTACATAGTAGGGATGTCATCGAGTATTCGAGTATCGCTCTGTAGTACCGAGTATTAAATACCAAAACATTACTCGACTAATTGGTTTCCTGTTTGAATATTGCTGTCTTCTTAACATAAAATTGATCTTCTTGAGAACCTCTTTCGAAAAATCAAATAGGCATCATTGATTAATCATACTAGTAAATTAAATACATTTTGTTTCGAATGCTTGTGCTAAATTGTCATTTAAAATGCCTCCATAACTTCAAGGTGGGGGTTTACAGTTGTTTGTCTAAGTCAGAATTTTTTTTTTGCGCGCCAACATTTTTTTTATAGTATTTTGACGCTATCAATCAAATAATTTTTTTCAAAATTTAACACATTAAGGTATGGGGAAAATTTGGATTCAGAATATTTTTTTTTTGTCATCTGCTTGACCACAATATTTTTTTTCATCAAATTGAGGATCAGAATATTTTTTTAAGGCAAAAACCATAACCCCCCCCCCCCCCCTTGAAGTTAAATGGTTGTTCCCTTAATGTATTTTAAGGAAAGATGGGGATACTTTTAACCACAATAAAAGTAACCCCAATTTTTACTAATTCTAAATGTTTATGTATGACTTTTGTCTCGCCTTGAAGGAGTCAAAAAGCGAGACATAGGTATGCTGTTTCCTGCGTCGGCGGCGTCAACAATGTATTAGTTTGTGATAAGGTCTAGTTCATGATGAACCACTAGTGGTAGGTCAATGATATTTGGTATGCAGTTGTATTAGCATTGGCACATCTCATTACCATGGAGATTATTTGGCCCCGCCCCCTCAGTCAAGGTCTATTGACTTTGAAACTTTTCATAGTTTACATGTATTAGTTTGTGATTAGGTGATTAGGTCAATTTATGGGGAACCACTAGTGGTAGGTCAATGATATTTGGTATGCAGTTGTATAAGCATTGGCATATCTCATTTCCATGGAAATTATTTGGCTCCGCCCCCTTTGTCATGGTCTATAGACTTTGAAAATTTTGCTAAGTTAACATGTATTAGTTTGTGATTAGGTCAGTTCAAGGGGAACCATTAGTGGTAGGCCAATGTTAATTGGTGTTCAGTTGTATAAGCATAAGCACATCTCATTTCCATGGAGAATATTTGGCACCGCCCCCTCAGTCATGGTCTATTTACTTTGAAACTTTTGCTTAGTTTACATGTATTAGTTTGTGATTAGATCAGTTTAAGATAAATTGCTAATGTTAAGTAAATGATATTTGGTATGCAAATTTATTGGCATTTGCAAGTATCATTTCCATGGAGATTATATAGCCCCACCCCTGATCATGGTTCATTGACTTTGAAACTTTTACATAGTTTACAAGTTA